TTTGGTCTGTCACTGTGAAGCGGGCGTAACTCTTACACTACCTGATCGATACAACATTAAACGTGATGTTTTAAAGCACGTTATTCCAAACAATTTAGGAATGTTAGGTGATTTATGCCCTTTATGGATTAAAAGCAGACTCTGCATCAACTATGTCATTTTCCATGGGAGTTTTGCCATGGATCCCCCTCCGGCATGCCACAGTCCAGGTGTTAGTCCCCTTGAAACAACTTTTCCATCACTGTTGTGGCCAGAAAGAGTCCCTGTGGGTTTTAAAATTCGCCTGCCTATTGAAGTCTATGGCGGTCCGCCCGGTTCGCCCGTTCGCGAACATTTGCGGAAATTTGCGTTCGCCGTCCGCGAACGGAAAATTTTATGTTCGCGACATCTCTAGTATCAAACTGTGTAGATAAGGCGTCTGCCCTTAAGTTTTTGGAACCAGGTCTGTAAGTTATAAGAAAGTTAAAATGAGATAGGAACAAAGCCCATCTAGCCTGTCTAGAAGACAGTCTTTTAGTATCCCCTATATAAGCCAAATTCTTGTGGTTAGTAATGATTAAAAGGAGGTCCTTGGAACCCTCTAAAAGATGTCGCCATTCTTTAAGTGCTAGTATAATGGCCAACAATTCTCTGTTGCCAATATCATTATTATGCTCAGCAGGAGACAACTTTGTAGAGAGGTACCCACATGGATGCAAAGGGGTTTCCTGACTCTCCCTCTGAGAGAGAACAGCCCCTACCCCAGTTTTGGAGGCATCAACCTCCAGTATGAAGGGTGTATCAATATGCCAGCAGAAGCAAACCTTTGTTTGAGAAGTTCAAAAGCTTCTCTAGCTTCCTTAGACCATATCGCTCATGGGGGCCATCCCAGAAGAGAACCCTTTTATAAATCTCCTGTAATGATTAGCAAACCCAATAAACCTTTGGATGGGTCTTAGTCCATTGGGCAATTGCCAATGTAGAACAGCCTCTGGTTTATGAGGGTCCATCTGAAAACCAGAGGCATAAATATTATACCCCAAAAACTGTACTTCAGTCTGGTCAAAGATGCATTTTTCCAGTTTGCAATAAAGTTGTTTTTTAAGTAAAGTTTGCAATACTTTTTTGACCTGTTTGTGGTGAGTCTGAAGGTCAGGGGAATAAATAAGGATATCATCCAGATAAACTAGGACAGATGAATAAATATAGTCCATTAGTACATCATTAATAAATTCATGGAATACGGCTGGAGCATTGCATAACCCGAAGGGCATCACAAGTAAAAAAAAAAACTCATAGTGCCCACGTTTAGTAAAGATGTTAGCACCCTGGAGTCTGTCAAACAATTCGGAAATGAGGGGAATGGGATAGGCATTTTTAGTGGTGATCTTGCTTAATGCCCTGTAGTCAATGCATGGGTGTAATTCTCCATCTTTTTTTTTTTTTTTACAAAAAAGAACTCTGCACCAGCAGGCGAGGATGATTTATATATGGGGCCCTTACTTAGAGGGTCTTTGATGTACTCTTCCATTATTATTCTCTCCTGAGGCGATAAGGCATACACTGCACCCCTGGGTGGCATAGCGCCGGGTAGCAGATTTATGGAACAGTCATATGGTCTGTGAGGAGGTAGAATATTGGTCTGACTCTTACTGAATACCTCTTTAACCTCCCAGTATTGCATGGGAACTTCGGAGACCTGAGGCATAGTAATGGGTAATGAAATGATGCCCACTCTTTTGGTAATGTGCAACATACATCTTTCAGTACAGTCTCTAGGAACGCTGCACACGCTGGGGACCGGGACAGAAGGAGGTCGGGTAGTGGTCTGCTGCAAGCAAGATAAGTTTTTATTATTTCTGTCGGCGTGACCGATGTGTTTCTGTGCGGCAATGCCGACAGAATCCTGCAGAACCGTGACAATTACACAGCAAGGAAAAATTCCAAAGAACTTCCCCACGCTGTGTAAAATGACACAGAGCACTCTGATTGGTTGGATTTCTAGCCAACCAGTCAGAGTGCTGTGACAGGTAAATGTAGAGACTTACCTGTCAATCTCTTCATTTACCTGACAGGGCACTCTGATTGGTTGGCTTAAACCAACCAATCAGAGCGCTCTGGGCCTAATTGCAGGGCATAGGAAGGCTTTATAAGCCTTTCCCCATCCTGTGGAGCTCATTCTGCAAGGTGCCCCCCATGGGTGAAGATAAAGTATTTTTTTACTGTCAGGATTTATTTTTTTTGGAGCTTTTTTTATTTGTAATTTTACAGTTGCATTAGGTCCCCCCCCCCATTATTTATTTATTTAGGGTCCCCACCCACTGCTCATGGGTGGGGACCTGGGGGGGACATTAGGTACCCCGTTTATATTAATAGCCCCCACCATACTGATTTATATTAAGTTTTATGACTGGATATAAATGTATCTTGGATAGAAGTGTAAAGAGTACAGTAAGAGTACATGTAAAACGTAGCTATTTAGATCTAAATAGCTACTTTTTCATATTGCAACATTGTTATACTTTTTACTATAACGTTTGGTTACATGTACTCTTACCATAGCTGTCACTTCTCTATAAGATACTGATTTATTTACATCCAGTTTTAAATGACAGCGAGCAGCCACTGGATAAACTCAATATGAAAGAGATGAATAATGGTTGAACAACATAGAGCTCAAATTCTAGGATTTGTTTTGGTTTTGTTTGATCAAACCTTGTACAATTGCCCCCTGCACTTAGGGGGTTTAAAAACGGATTAAATAGAAGTTGGCCTATATTAGTACTCTGAGGTATTCTATTTATCGTTTATTGTCCCATTAAAAACTACTCTCTCTGCTGTAACTTTAAAGGGACACTCCACTGTCCAAATACAAAATAAATAAAAGCCACTGTTTAGTAGATATACCACAAATGAAAACTTGCATGCATTTAATTATGTATTATTTCATTGGGGAAATAATACCTAAAATCAGCTTGCTAAAACTGCAGATCTCTTGTCTGCTGCCTTTGCAAGGTATCCCCTTCTAACCCCACCCAGACTTTCAGTGGCTGTCCAATTACAGAATTCCTAATACAGCTCAATGAAAAGTCTTTGTAAGTCAGGTGCTCTGGGCAATTGCTGCCTCTTGAAGTCAGCTGAATTGAGCTAAAACCAGGAAGTAACATTACCTGTTGTATACTTGAAAGCCAAGTGGGTGTAACCAGGTTAATTTATAAAAAGTGCAAATTTCTTTTGAAATCTGCACTTTTTGGAAAATTTAAAAAAGAGGACATACTCTTCGCACATAAAGCTTTTCAGAAAGTTAAAGTTGTTTTGGGGCCTGGAATGCCTCTTTAAATCAATGTTCAGTTCAAGAACAGGAATATTAATGTGAACCAATTTATTTAATTTCTATAGACAACCTACTGTAGGGAGCCATATCAAATGCCTTCGCAAAATGTCAATCTAATCTGCTCTTAAAGGGCATTTTTTACATATAGCAATTAACGCCTTAAGAACGACGGAAGTTCTATGCTGTACTTAAGGGGCTGGCCCTAAATGCCGGCGGATGGCATAGAATTTCTGTGAGCTATAAAGTTGCTGTTTAGTGGATGAGTGAGTGCGCTGGATCTTGTACATTGTATAAATTGGCCTCAGCAGTACCCCATTTATGCATGTTCAGGTGAGTGCAGCCCCCTGGTTTCACATATATATTTGGGAGACAGGCCAACTCCTTGGTTTTGCACCCCTCCCTATCACAAGTGCCTCATTCCAGGGCCCTATTTAGCCTTATACTGCAGAGATCCCCAGATGGAATTTTTCCCCTAAGTAAGTGGATTAATCTCATAAGACATTAGGCTCATAGAGTAGGACCTGACAAAGATGGGGACGTTGAGGGAGGCTTATGCAATGTATGATCATATAATGTAACTAAAGCCCCATTATTTTTGCCTAGATTAGGTGTTTAAAAAAATCTGTGAGCTTTGAGGTTGCTGTTTAGTGGATGAGTGAGTATGCTGGACATAACTCATTTGCAATACCCTGGGTTGTCTATTTTTGCAAATGCTATGTCGTGATGCGTTTATTTTTCATTCCTGAGCTGCTATACGCTCTCAAATGCAACATAACCAATCTGGCAAATTTTAATGTGTATAAAATGAAAAAGTGAACGTGCTATATTTTACCCTGTTTTTTCCAAAACTCCATAAAACCTGTACACTGGGAGTACTGTTGTACTCGTCAGACATTGTTGAATGCAAACATGTGTATTTTATTATAGTAAAAGTTAAGAGTATTATGAAATTTACAGATAAAATGCCATGCAGAACTAAAAAATAACATTTCTTAATTTCTCACACTTTAAAAAAAAAATTACATTTTATTCATATGAAATTATGCTTCATATATAAATATTTGATGTGAAAAGAAAGCCCTGTTTCTCCTGAACAAAATTGTACATATTAAGCGTGGGTGCATTTGATATGAAAGAGGTGATTTATGTTTGAAAAGACATATAGCTCAAATTCCAGGTTTTGTTTTGTTTTGATCAGACCATGTACAATTGCCTCTGTCCTTACAGGATTAATTTGTGCCTTGATTTTATTTTTGTTGATAAGCTTTTCGAATTATTTAATATTTTTGGATACACTTTTTTTAAGAGGATGTTTTTAGAATATTAAATCAATTTTAAAATGTTATCTAAAAATGCAAAACTATTTGAAATGCATATCCAAAAATATTCAATTGATGCCTTAGTTAGATTAACAATTAATATATCCTGACGATCATATTATATACCTTCATATTTATACTTTAAAATCCAGCACTGTAAGGTGGCTGACGTGACTTTGTACAATAAATAATGTGACAAGGTGTAATGTGAGTGCCCTTATTGTCAGGACAATCTATAAAGTTTTAAAATCCATTTTCTTATTTTATGAGACATATGACATAAATACATAATCACTTTTTGATAAACCGATCTGTGGAAAAATCAAAGGGAAATGCATCTATATCAAGAAAATATTGAATGGGAACTTTTAAGAATGTCTCACAACTTCTGCAGCCTTTTTGTTCAGCTGTGTATCACAGTGTCCTCCTACATTATCATACCATTTATAACAGTAAACTAACACAGTATCCGAGGTGTCAGTGTTTTTGATAATTAGTTGATACTGTGTCCCAGCACTGTTTATAGTGCAGCCATAATGTGCGGATGACATTCCAGGTCCATATCTAGGTTCTGTGTATGAATGATGATGATATAGCAAAAACTGTGGAGCCTCTCCTGGTGACTGTCTCACGAACCATGTAGCATGATTGTTTTTAACTCCAACATCACAGTTAAAAGTTGCCGTTTCTCCTTTATTCACTGACAGCATAGTTGGTGTTAGGAGTGGAGTTTGTGAGTCAACATCTGAATGAAAAAGATATATTTTTTTTTAAAAAAAGTTAATATTGCATCACAATAAGCAATATAACTTTATATACATGGTGAAAAAAACAATACGTACAGGTTATCGATGCTAAGACACACGTAATCAGTAGTAAATCCATTTTCTCTAAGGTGTTTGAATGTCCTTTCCAGTATAGAAAACACTCTCACATCTTGTTAAATATCACCAGCTCCTCTCTTGAGATTTCTATGCAAATTGTTCAGTGAAGGGAGCAATCACAAACAACCTGTGAATATAATGTGCAAATAGAACCTCTAGAATTCAAATCTGCTGAGGGTATATATATATTTTAAGATGTTGATGTTTCTTCAACTTAAAATTTAAGAGAAAGTAAAGACAACTATTTTGAAACTGTCTAAATATCTATTTTTAGTCTAGTTACGAATTGATAACATTTTTTGTTTAGTTGACTTCTTTGGTTTTTTTTTTACTCGTAGATGCTAATTACTAATTGCAATAATTAAGTAGAATAGAAAAAAATGCGCTCTGACTATGACATTTTTCACGCAGATAACTGTTAACCCCTTTACTATAAGGCAGTTTGTGGAAAAAAAAAAAACACCACTAGAATCTGAATATTTTAAGAATCCTGGAAAGTAATGGTTAACAGGTTTATTTACTAAGTGAGAATTCAAAGTAATTTCTAAAAGTATTTCTAATTTAAGGCAAGAGTATCCAAATGAAAGCATAGCTGACTTGGAGAATATTTGCATTTCGGTTATTACGACCTAAAATTTGAAATTCACTTTGAATTCACTTTAAAGGAGCACTATAGGGTCAATTAGACTAACTTGTATTCCTGACCCTCTAGTGTTGAAACCACCATCTACCCTCCCTTGCCTCCCTAAATATAGTTGTGACAGATCCCTCTGTCTTGAACTGAAATGACCGTATTTCTCATTTGTTTGTTTGATTCATGTTTCCCCGTTCCTGTGGACTCTATGCAGTTCCCTTTCTATGTACCGAATAAAACTACTGAACGGCCGGCCACCCAGTAGAGAAGTGTGCTGCTGATTAACCTCTTGGCTCCATCAGAACATTGAGGTTAACCGTAGACACCTCTTAATTGATACGGTAGTTGTGTGGCCGCCATTCGTATGCCGAACACGTGGTCGCGGCCATTTTAAACACGCAAACGCACAGCGGTGTTCGACGCCCAACTCATGGAACTCAAAACGGATACATTTTGGCACGAACACCGCTGAAGCCGTCGACCTCCCTTCTTGTTCAGTAGAAAGTGCACGAACGGCCCGATATTCGGTAGTTTGTACCTGGATACACCATACCCCAGATAGGCATCCCGTGGAGCCCATTCGTATGAAAACTGACTTTGTGGACACTTTGGCTCCATGGCAAATGGACTGTGTGCATAGGATCTGAGCGCTATTCGGTACTTTGGTGCGCTCAGACCCTAGCTATCTGGGGACCTGTTGAATGCCTGTAAAATGTTATAAAATGTACCAGTTATGTATTTTCATGCCTTTTTGTTATTTTCATTTAAAATGAAGTTTAGGCTCTGTCCTGGGAGATAATTGAATTACTTCACAATTATCTCCCTGAACAGAGCAGAGGGTTCTGGGTAAGAAAAGGGGAATGTGTGTACCCTGTGATTGGTTGCTACAATGTCCTTGTCACAGTCCCCCATTTGGTCCCCTAGGGGAGTGTCCACCAGATGGGAGACTTGCATAAAAGCCGGGCATGTAGCCCTCATTAAACCAGATTCCTGCTGACCCTGAATACGGAGCTTTGTCTCGTCATTGGGGAGAATTATTCGTATGGAGTATGCTGTTCAGCTGTTTGAGAGAATACTTAATTTGTGTGATTGCTGTTCGGCTGTTTGGGGAACTAATTGATCCGTACGGCTACTGTTCGGCAGTTGGAGCGCTCAGTGGCTACCTCTACGTTCGGTAAGGGATCGTCCTATATGGCTGTAACCCCTCTCCTACCGGGGGAGCCATAACAATAGTAAAGTCTTACCTCCTGTATTCAAGTCTGCAGCTGTTGGTTCTGCCCCTATCTGTGTCTGACCTGCCTGCTGTCTGCCGACATAATCAGAAGTGGTGGTCTGAGCCAATCACAATGCTTACCCATAGCATTGGCTGAGACTGTCAGGCCAAACACAGCCCTGGCCAATCAGCATCTCCTCATAGAGATTATTTGAATCAATGCATCTCTATGAGGAAAGTTCAGTGTCTACATATAGAGGGTGGAGACACTGAATGGCCGTGTTGCTCAACAACATCATCGGGGGAATTTCTTCCTGAAGCTCAAATGGCAACAACTGGATGCCTGACAGTACTGATGGCAGCTCCCAGGGTGGAGAAATGGATTTTAGAGGAGGTCTGATTTGTAGTACCATCTCATGAATCTTGCCTCATCCAAGTGTAAAGCTCACCTGGCTGCTGAGGTGGTCTTCCTCTTAGCATGGAACAAGGTGGAAATGACTGCTTCAGAAAAACCTCTATTCATCATTTGCCTTTGCTAGTCTTGAAGCTATCAACTATAATGTACTAGGGTCTGGATGAAACAAGGGACCCTGGAACAGAAGATCCAGCTAAGTTGTGTCAGGACTGTCTTGGAGAGGTTCAGTAACAATAGAAACCATGACCTCCTCAGTCAGAATAGATATATTGCTAGCACTACTTCCATTTGCTCCCCCTGTATGCTTCTGAGTAGCCGAAAAGCAGATGTACAATGAATACATATCAATTTTTGAAGTTCCAGGAGCAAGAGAGAGCATAACATCCTTCTGCCTATGGACAGGAATCTCCCAATCTGCTGGTTCTGTATGGAGGCCATCATGTCTATCGCTGGACTTCTCCATCTATCCACAATCAATCAGAATGTCCATTTGGATAGCCACCATTCCCCTGGATGCACCCTATGTATGCTGAGAAAGTCTGCTTGGGGAATAGAGGCCTGGGAGGTAAACAGCAGAGAGGCACTGGAGGTGCATTTAGGTCCAGTTCATGAGAAGTAGCATCATAAAAGGGTTACTCCCTGATGATTCACCTTTGCCACCACCAAAGTGATACATTTTCACCCAGTGACTGGACTTGATGTTGCAAATATTGAAGCGCCTTCATAGCTTCCATCATAAGATACATGTTAAGTGCGTTGTTCTGTCACTTATTCTGCACATAAAAATGTGGTTAATGGCATTTACCATCCTGACAGGAAAAGTTGTGCCGAGCAGCATTACCGTCCTGACAGGAAAAGTTGTGCTGAGCAGCAATCATGCACATAGAAACCTGGTAATTGCTTTTGGGGTCAAATGCCAGTTATGGCCAATCAGATCCATAGGAGGGTTTGTACTGAGCAGAAATCATGCACATGGAAACCTGGTAATTGCTTTTGGGGTCAAAGGCTGGTTACAGCCAATCGGATCCACAGGAAGGTATGTAACCCCTTAAGGACACATGACATGTGTGACATGTCATGATTCCCTTTTATTCCAGAAGTTTGGTCCTTAAGGGGTTAAATCCAATACCCCTTTTGCTCATTGCCCCGGTTTCATCCTGATGGTAATCCAAGAGTGCGTTCCTGATCTTGATTTTCTGTTATTTGACTTTGGCTTTGTTTTGACTTCCCTGAATTCTGGTATCCTTGACTTTTGGCTTTCCCTCATCGTTGTGTCTGATTCTGTGTTCCTGATCTCGGCAAGTATTTTGACTATTCTTTGATACGTTAAGTCCGGACATTCTAAGGTCCGGTTATACGTTATCCTTAGTCCTAGGTGTGACACAGTTCTGCATGCTGGATCAACTTGTAATACTGACATTTTCTCCCTCAACAACTTTTGCCATTTCTCATGGATGTAAAACTAGTCTGTAAGGACTCCCCAATCTGAGAGACAGGCTTGGTGGTCACCATTTACTATTCGATTAACCCCAGAGGGTAAACATTGAATAGGTTTGTATCAATAAGCGACCATCTCGGTGTTTTTTTTGACTTTTGTTGGCAGCATAATCTTCTAATTGAGAGGGATTCTTGTCAGAGGTTTTGGAGAGGGCAAGTATCCTAGGAGACTTATGAATGAGTAAGCTGAAACTGACCAAAGAGTTACTGATCCTTGTCTTGTGTTGAATATTGTCCCTAAATACATCTGTTGGGAGGAAAAAAAAAAGTAGATTTTTCTTCAAATTCACACCTATCCATGTTTCTCTAGGGTGATACTTGCTGTGTTTCAGTGAGTCATTCGGGGTAGGCCAGTCTTTGCCCGACATGTGAATGTATGGAATATATGGATCCCTCTCTGTAGTCAGGGAAATGAGCATATGAGACTTGCAGAAAAGAAAATAAACAAAAAGATAAAATCTAAAGCCAGTGCATAACTCCTAGGTGGGGGATAACCCCTGTAGTAAGCAATAGACAAGCGAGAAACAAAGAGGAGGGAAATGAGCACTTTAAAAAAAAACAAAAAAACTGTGTGTGGAACTCAGTTCACAAAGAAGGGTCCTGAACTGGAGATGCTTGTTGTTGAGGCAGAATTTTAGATATTTCTGATGTTCTCTGGCAATCGGAGCATAATTATAATACTTGCAAGCAGAAATTTATTATGAACCCCTTAGTGACCAGACCGTTTTTCAATTTTCTTACCGTTAAGGACCAGGGCTCTTTTTACATTTCTGCGGTGTTTGTGTTTAGCTGTAATTTTCCTCTTACTCATTTACTGTACACACACATATTATATACAGTTTTTTTCTCGCCATTAAATGGTCTTTCTAAATATACCATTATTTTCATCATATCATATAATTTACTATAAAAAAAATTACAAAATATGATGAAAAATTTAAAAACATACTTTTTCAAAATTTGACCCCCAAAATCTTACGCATCTACAACCGCCAAAAAACACCCATGCTAAATAGTTTCTACATTTTGTCCTGAGTTTAAAAATGCCCAATGTTAACATGTTCTTAGCTTTTTTTGACATGTTATAGGGCTAAAAGTACAAGTAGCACTTTGCTTTTTTCAAACCATTTTTTTTTTCAAAATTAATGCAAGTTACATTGTAACCCTGATATCTGTCAGGAATTCCAGAATAACCCGACGCATGTATATATTTTTTAAAAGGAGACAACCTAAGGTATTAAA